CCCTATCAGTGCAAGAACAGAGCTTTCAAAGCGTACAGGGGATGGGACCAGAGTCAGAGTCATTTTTGACATTGTTTTAACATTGTTTGACACAGTCTTTCTACGAGAAACTTGTGAGCACTGTTCAGCCTGACCTAGGGCGAATACATGGGGTGGCGAGGCGCGAACTGCGCAGACGCCGCGGACGCCTCCATCCGTGGTTTTTTGTCACCGACTAGTGACTGGGGATAGATTGCTTCGTGCAATAACGAAGACCCAACGTTCTTTTCCTAAGTTTGCTCCCTAGTGCTAACCGAGTTGGTCGCTTGGATCTCTTGCTTGTTGGGGCTCGGAAGACCCACCTTTCAATGCCTTTCGTAGCTTCCATTTGGTGGTTCTTTCACGCTTGAGCTGGGCATAGCCACAGCTTCTGTCGAAGCACCTCAGCGGAAATGCGGAAAACGAGGACTGTTCCTCTTTCCCTAGTAACAAGGGCACTACTAGTAGCTAGAAGCTACTAGTAACACGGGCATCGCTATTAGTAGCAAGTGCATCGCTACTAGTAGCTAGAAGCTACTCCAGAGAACCTTGTGAAGCCCTTCAGACTTCATCAAGACCAAGGACTCGGACAACCAAGGGGGCCAAATTTCAAAAGCTGATCCTGTCAGCTGTTCTCCTCTCCCCAAATACCTAAAGGGCATCGAGTGACCCATTACCTTTACTTGCCCATTTTAGGTGATCTGCAGCTGATTCTGTTCTTTCAGCCGACCCGTTTTGAAGGTATCTTGTCTACAGCAACTCATCAAATCTAGTCCTTAAGGTAGATATTGTTTTTCCAGCTGGCTTCATCTCCTTGCAACTAACTAAGTCTATACCACCCGCTGTCTTCACATTTTGCCTTTCCTGGTAAACACCTAGAAAAGTTCAGCACACCATGTTCACATCAAATGTCATGGCTTTTATATCCACTCTTTTTCTGACAAATATATATATATATATAATACTGTGGTAGGTCCAGCTCCAACCATTTTTCGTCTCGAGACTTCCGAGACTGACGCAGGGCACTGACAATTATGATCAACGTCATCGCCCACAGAGGCCGAGTGACGGTGGAATGTTCAAAGCCAGTGGAACACTCAACACACTTGTGATGATTTGGTTTGATTCGTGGACTCACTCAAGCTGGAACGCAGGAAACATATGAGATGTTGAAGTTGTTCCTCATTATTTGGGAACACTTGCATGGGCTGTATGCTGCATGGTTCTTTTGGAAGGAGCCAAAACCGCCAGTATTCTTATTCATCCTGGCATTCGGAGGGCCCGCAAACCTTTGCGCACGGTGCCCGGTTGTGTTTTGTTGGCGCTTGGAGTTTGACTGTGTTTGTTTTGCGAGGCTGGTTCTTTTCGAAAGGCAGCAAAGTAACCAAGACAGAAGCAAATACGTGTGACAAACTATGCACTCGATGAAAAGCAGAGCCGCAGTGTTTTGAAAGGAATAAATACAGCCCAGTTCCAGCCTTTCACATGTCCCGGCCGTGTTTCCCAAGGCCTTCGCTCATGTCGAGAAACGTGCAGGATGTCTCTTTGCTGGAGCAGTTCTCGGCTCAATAACATCACTGTACGCTACTGTATCACTACAGCACCACTACTGTACCAGATGTGTGCAAGCCAGTGGTGGCTCCGCAATTTTCATTTGCTGCTAGCATACGATCTATTGTAATCTTTTTGCTCATGCATTGCTGCGATCCGCAGGATTCCCAGCAGATGCTGGCTCCTCAAGTCTCACTCAATCTCGAGCAGTTGCGTGAAGGCCTTAGGTTCACTAGCTCACGAGCTTTTTATCAAAAGTCATGTGCTTCATCGTTTTTCCTTGTTTTCTTGTTTGCCTGAGAACACTGGACACAGTTTAATGCGGGAGATGGTGAGCTCAGGACAGCAGGAGCAGGCGCTCCAGTACCAGTTGCAGCAGTTGCAATGGCAGCCCGCTGTTCAGCGAAACCAGCCTTGGAATCAATTGTAGGGACCCAAATTCTTCGGCAAACAACTGTCACAGCCGAAACGACGCAACTCTCAGGAGGCAGTTTTGGATGCAACTCTTAGGCCCGCTGTCCAGGAAGTTCCCAACATGCAGCGGCAGCGACTCCAGCGACTCTTCTGCAACTGCAATGAGCTTCCCTGAACGATGCTTTCCAGAACCCAAGGGATGCAAGAGCGGAAGACAGGAAACGTGTGTTATATTAATATTACCTCCTACATCCGCAGCGCTCCACTTATATATCCGCACATGGCTTCAGATGCTTTCCAACCTGTGCACCACAGATCGCTACTGTACAGACAGGCAGTGGTGCCATCCTCCAACTCCCCAGCATGAGGCATGGATTTGGCGCACCATATCCACCATATCCGACGGCTCTGATGGGGCCCATTAATAGGCAGGAAGAGACGCCCGAAACCAAGCGATCGAGTCGCGGTATTGGATTTCGGCACGGATTCATTCGTGAGTGAGGTGATTTGGAGTGACTCAGGGCCCGCAGGGCATGGCATCCATGAAACATGGTTGCATGGCTATCGTAGGCTGTAGTATGCACCAACTACCCAGATACTTGGGCCTGATAGGGAGAACTGACTCCTCCTTTTTGCAGAGAGTTTTGGACGCCAGGGAAGTCGGATGGGAGCAGCATGGCAGTTTGAGGTGGGATCGGGAAATGGTTGTCGATTTTGCATGTTGAAACGAAGAAATGATCAGAGCTGGATAGTCCAAACAAGTATATTGAGGATATTGAGGATCTTGTCATTCAATCGTTGTTGAAGCACCAACACGAAAACGGCCCAACCCAGCATACCTCTCCTTCAAAGATAGCAAGTGTGCTAGTCCCTGGCCAGGATGCCATCTGAACATGAGGACAGGACGTGGCAAGGTCCATGTGTGTTGTTTCTAGCCACAAATTTGTGCAGTTTCTTTCGTTCGTTCCAGTGCTCAATATGTTTTCAGAAAGTTGAAAACAATGGCTATGCCACTATGCTATTGAACCACCAGAAACGGATGACCAGCAGTTGTCGCCGTGTTTCGGGAGTGTCCATGGCTTATTTCAAGGTCAAGAATAAAGCCTTGCCCAGGACCAGGAGGTTTCTTCACCGCCTCTTCGTTTTGACCTATGAGCCGATGAGGCTGCTTAGGCCTAGGCTTATGAAGCGCTTTCTACACAACCTTTTTAGCAGGGAGCCGGCATATGCGGGCACTGAACAGCATCTGAAATGCACTGCGCCCACAGCGCGTTGCACATACATACACGATGGGCAGCTTGCTTCATCGAGGCTGTGCCAAGGCTGCGCAGCTTAGCGTGTAAACGGCCGCTTTATTTTGAAGGATTGTGCCATGTTGTGCGGTGCTGTCATGTCGTATTTGTCGAAATGTTTATGATGGCAACTTTGGTTGCCGCACACAATTTCAGTGAAGGGCGCGGTTTACAAGCTGTTTCTAGCAAGCTCATATCCGCCTGTTGGTCAAGATTAAAGCCACCAAGCAGCCCATAAGTCCTCAGCACCAAGTTCCAGGTGAATCTGTGGATTGACACTCAGCCCCTGAGCTGAGACACAGGTGTAGCTCCGTGCGAGGCGGCAGCTCCGTTGATCTTCTGTTGGAAATAATCCTCCTAACCGTGCGCACGGCGATCTCTTGTTGGCAGAGATTACTGTAATATGAGGCTGACGAGGTGAAGTCCACTGAGTCCAATTGACTGTCCACTGATTCCAATGCATTTTCGTTGCAAACACTTTAACCGTTGCAAACACTCGAACTGGAGCCTGTTCGAGATTCGTGAATGGGTTCGGAGCTCTGACTGAAATTGTGCCTAAGTCAAACGGTGTGCTTACTTTTGCCGTCGAAGGTCATCCATGCTCCAAGGACTTGTGGTTTTGCTCACTTTCGCCACCTCTTCCCATACTCACTTATACAAGTGATTCTTGAACAAGGAGCAAGAATGATCACTGCAGCCATGCAGAAGCATGTGCAGCCTCACTTCTGGCCGACCACCACACTCACTTCTCCTTCTACTGGAAAACACATTACTTTAATTATTGTCTTTTCGATCAAGTCTCCCGTCGTCTGTAAACGAGAGGTGTGAGTGTTGGTGAGTTGAGTTGTGCTGGGTTTCCTCGGCACAACGGCCAACGTCAGCGTCCTGGTCGCAGAGGCCTGCGCTCGGCCTGCGCTTCGCAGCCACACATCATGAGTGGTCAAGTTTTGACAGTAAACCGTCCTTTCTCCTAGTAGCGATGCCCTTTGTTACTAGTAGCTTCTTGTTCCTAGTAGTAAGGCCAGGAGCTACTAGTAGCGTCCTTGCTCCTACAAGTAGTAGCGATGCCAGGAGCTACTAGCAGCTTCTTCCCACTAGTAGCCACCTGTGTGCCTTGCTTGTGAATTGTGACTCGTCACAGATATCGTGGCAAGTATGCGGAGCGGTCCCCATTCAGGATACGTAGCCGACTTGCCACAGAGTGAGCCCGAGCAAAGCAAAGAGCAGATAGCTGCCTTGCCTGTTACACAGTGTGTTTTTGAGCGTTCTTGATCTTTCTAGCTATTGGCCGCCGACCTTCGTAGATTGCCATGTTGAAGAAACACTGGGTGTTGATGCTGCTGAATCAGCATCAGTGATGCTCAGTGAAGGCAGCCAGGTGGTGAGAATGTGCAGCATCTTTGGCCAAAAGACCAAGGTGGCTGCTGCTAGACTTCCTCCTGAGTTGCAAAGCGGAAGAAATCTTTGACCTGAACAAGTCGGTGGACTGTAGACAGATGTTGACCACCAAAACTAAAGACTTATATAAGTTGATACGAAGACCGGTTGATGCAAGCAGATGTATCGATCGAACAAATCAACAAATCAACTGGCCCCCGCACTTGAAGTAGCAGTAGAGGAGGGCAGTCACATGGAAAACAGGAGCGAGACATGGGTCAGGCATGGCAATGCATGGCAATGCGTGGCAAAAAGCATGGCAAAGCATGAAATTGGTGTCGTACTCAGGTGTACCATCATCCCTTTAGCCTTGGAGGCCATCGCAAAGCTGACTTGCGACCAGAGGAGGGGAGCCAATCACTATTATTTTTGTATCTTTTTCTTCAGGAACTTTTGCTTCTTGAACTTCTTGCTTCACTGGTCCCAAGACAAACTCGGAGATTCTTGGAGTCATTGCATTGGAATCCTTCTTTGCGGGGTTGAAGGATGTCAAAGGGAGATGGATGTCGTTTGGAGGAGTTCGATTGTCGTGCCACTGAAGCTGATGCGCTTTTCCCCACAACCTGGGTTATGCGACTCAGCAGCCTTTGGCACGAGTTTGGCTGCAAAACTAAACACTTCCCGACATTCAGCCTGTTCCTCTAGCCCAGAGCAGCCACGAGTCCGGTACCTGACCTGTTCCGAGGCCCGGCTACGTCTCCCATACCACAAGCCGCGTGTTGCGGCGATCTTGTGGCCTCTTTGAGGAGTTGACCATGGAGGCTGACACACACACACACACACTTATGATTATGCGTACTGAACTGAAAGCGGTGCCACACGCCGGCCTAGGTTACCATTTCCTAAGAGTACAGGTAAGAACCACCCAAGCCTGGGGTCTTCAAAAGGAAGAGAGGTCCAAAGCGCAAGTCGAGGTCGAAACGACAGGATGACGACGTCCGCTCATGTCTGCCAAGCTCGTTAGCCCTTACGAAATCTTAAAATTGTTGCAGGTACGTCCAGCTGGCCAAGCTGGATATCCCACCAGATTGCATAGCTTTGTTAGACACGGTCTGGAATCTGTTGCCGTGTCTGGAATGTGAAGTGCACGCGGTGCACTGACTTTGAGACATGTGTTTACCCCTGCGAACAAACAAGGTAAAAAGCCAGGCAGTACACTCCAAAAGGATCTGTGGTTTCAAGGGTCACACACACACACGCCTTTTTGAGGGGAGGCTTCTCTTGGATAAAGTAGTAAGGCCAGGAGCCCCTAGTAGCGTCCCAATCTAAGGTCCCGACAGGAGGGAGGGGTAGGGAGAGAAGATAAGAAAGAAAAAGAATAAAGGAAAGGACAAGAAGGTGTTCCCAGCTACGACACAAGCGTCCAAGGACACACCAAGAGAAGAAGAGAAGGGTTCCCAGCTATGACGAAAGCATCCAGGGACACACCCCCAAAAAAACGCAAGAGGGAGAAAGGAAACAGAAAAACAGAGAAAGAGAAAAAAAGAGAGAGAGAGAGAGAGAGAGAAAGAGGGAAAGGAAAGGACGAAAATAGGTGTTCCCAGCTATGCGCAAGCGTCCAGGGACACACCAAGGAGAGGGGTATACCTGAGTGTTACATTAAGGTAAGCCCCAAAAAGGACAAAGAGAGAAGGGGAGGGTAGGGGCTAAGGGACAGACTCCAACAAGCCTTGAACAAGCTTCGGCCGCTGCGGCCACGTACACCGTGCCAAAATGGCTGGCAGCTTTGACAGCTACGGTCACGTAAAGGCATAGGCCAAAAACCGACAAAATCTGAGTTCTCTCGGCCTAGGCCACCTACGCCCGCTCTGGGCACGTACATCTCCGAGCAGGGGAGATAAGGACAAACGCCCGTTTGATGGGTCCACACGGCACTCTTCGGGGTCACCCTGGGCTGGCATGAAGCCAGACACACTTATGATTATGCGTACTGAACTGAAACGCCGGCCTAGGTTACCATTTCCTAAGAGTACAGGTAAGAACCACCCACGCCTGGGGTCTTCAAAAGGAAGAGAGGCCCAAAGCGCAAGTCGAGGTCGAAACGACAGGATGACGACGTCCGCTCATGTCTGCCAAGCTCGTTAGCCCTTTACGAAATCTTAAAATTGTTGCAGGTACGTCCAGCTGGCCAAGCTGGATACCCACCAGATTGCATAGCTTTGTTAGACACGGTCTGCAATCTGGTGCCGTGTCTGGAATGTGAAGTGCACGCGGCGCACTGACTTTGAGACATATGTTTTCCCCTGCGAACAAACAAGGTAAACAGCCAGGCAGTGCATTCCAAAAGGATCCTTGTGATTTCGAGGGTCACACACACCACCACCACCACCGCCACCGCCACCACCACCACCACCACCAGCGCCCGCGGCCGCCGCCGCCGCTGCCAACAACAACAACAACAACAACAAGAAGGAAAAGACAAGGACAAACGACCCGTCATACTGCTATTGTCCAACAGGTGCCTTCTCATTTCAAGAGACTTTGACAAACGACCCGTTGTTGGTCTCACCCCCCCAAACAACCAAAGTTGTAAACGGGTCGTTCGTCAAAGTCTCTTCCACTGGCTAATGGTTGTGTTGACTGTTCTCCTCTTGTCCACCACACATGTCTGACACACACTCTGACATTGGTTTTCAGTTAGCTGAGAAGGAAGGTGAAGGAACGGAAAGGCGCATGAGTCAGCAAAACAGTATTGTTGAAAAAGTGTTTCACACAAAACGCTCAAGTGAAAGCGGCGATCAGCGGCTGCAGAACGCGGCAGGAAAGGGTTTAGGGAGAGAGCGTGCAGAAACCACCATGAATCAAACCGATCGGATTGGACAGCTTTTGCAAAAGTCGGTCGCAGGTACACGCCGAGACGTCTCTCAGTGCTTCCCCTCCAGCGATTTAGCTTCGTTGGACAAGGTTCATCGCTGGAGGCCTTGCCCCCCTGCTTGAACGTGGAACCCTTGGAGACAGGGGTTGGCACACACACGGTGCCGCTTGGCGGCGCTCGCGTGGAAAGCCTGAATAGATACTTAAAAAGCCTTAGAAACAAAAGAGAGGAACGCAGAAAGAGCAGCGCTAAGAGGGCAAGAGAGAAAGATAGGAGCAGAAAAATGAAAAATGAATACTTAGCCCTTGACTGGGGTAGGGAAACGCGCCTCAAGAACAACCTAAAAAGCCTAAGAGAAAGCCCAAGAAACGACCAAAAGCGTAAGAAAGAAAGCGGGGGGCAGGGAGGGGATGTATGTGGCATGTGTGTGTCCGTGTGTGTGTATGACTACCTAGCACTCTAGGGTTACTGACTACTTAGCAGAAACGAATTACGTGCAATAGTTAGGGAGCGGGACTTTAGTCTTACACCGCCCGGGTAGAGAAGACTAGAACAGGAACAACAAAGGGGAAGGCGCCGACGCGCAAGTGTGTCGAGTACCATTTCCCTGTGTTGCCCTAATTGGGTGGGGAGTAGAACTCGGCCGGGGGGGGTTGTGGGAAACATGCCTGACCTCAAGTGGAATTCCGTTTTTTAGCGCGGCGGCTATGGTTGTTCACCGTGAAAGCCCGGCGGCTTTTTTATTCCGACAATTCAGTAGTGAGACAAGGGCAGTTAACGTGATCCACGATGAAAAGACGATGAATCTGTGACATGATTTCCGGTATGAAAACGGCGCCTCCTTGCGGAGGATCACGCCCAGCGCCCAAGTGGGACGGCTGAGCGGTTCACACTCTGAACGGGGCAGGAAAGGGTTTAGGGAGATAGCATGCAGAAACCACCATGAATCAAACCGATCGGATTGGACAGCTTTTGCAAAAGTTGGTCGCAGGTACACACCGAGACGTCTCTCAGTGCTTCCCCTCCAGCGATTTAGCTTCGTTGGACAAGGTTCATCGCTGGAGGCCTTGCCCCCCACACGCATGTCCTTTTGCTCAAAACAGTTAACCCGCACACTTACTTATTGAATTGCGCGCTGAACTGAATGCCACATGCCACACGCCCACCCAGGTGTGAACGCCTAAGGGTTCAGGTTAGGCAGCAACTCAAGAACCATCCAAGGAACTTCCAAGGCCCACGAACTCGAACTGCGGAAACGCGACAAGGTGACGATGGTCCGTGGGTGACTGCAGAATGCATTAGCGCTTGACGACGCATCTCGGCAAATGTTAAAATTGAAGCAGGCACACAGAGTTGATCAGACTCTGCTTCCCAGACGCAAGGTAGCTTTGTTAGGCGCAGTGCATTGCGTCTGCTGCGCCCCCTGCTTACATTTTAACAGGAACCTTGTGACTCCAAAGGTTCCACACACACGCCCCCCTGAAGGGAGGCATTTGTGGCCTCCATCCTGCCCGGAAAGGAGGCACCCCCATCCTGCCCGGAAAGGGGGTTATGCGAGACACATGTGCGCGCAAAAGAGACAGATGAAAATGAAAGAGACGAGACAGACGAAAAGCGTGTGTGGTTGCCGATGAAGAGGAACCAAGTGAAGAGGGACAACCGATGAGCCCAACCTCATTGTAAACAAACCTGGGGCACCTGAACGTAGTTGAGAGTAGAATACGCGTGCGTGTATGTGTACAAACTAAGGTCCCGGCGAAGGTGTGCGCAAGAGAAAAAAAGGATGAGAATTACGAGACATGAAGACAGAAGGACGTGAAAGAGAACAAGGAAAAACCTCTGTGAGGGGCCAATGAAGAGGGAACCAAATTGAAAGGGGACAAACCGATGACAGACCAAACCTCATTGCGCGCGAAAAAGGAGGGAGGGGAAAAGGAAGAAGAAAAGAGAGGGTGAGAAAGGAAAAACGAAGGTGTTCCCAGCTACGACTCAAGCGTCCAAGGACACACCAAAAGGAAAGGGCTCCCAGCTATGACAAAAGCATCCAAGGAAGAAGGAAGGGGGAGAAAAAGGAAGAGAGAGAGAGGGAGAGAGAGAGAGAGAGAGGGAGAGGGAGAGGTAGTTTGGCTCAAGATTTGGGCTCAAGCTGGGACTGTGCCGTTTGGTGGCACTACGTCTGTCCCTTTGCGGCCCCAAAGAACAGGGAGAACCCTACAGTGCGGAACTCGTGAAGGTCACCAACACCCTTGCCCGTGATCGAGACGGAAGAGACCTTTGTCCTTGAGGAGAAAGATGGTGTCACCTTCATGGGAGGGGTGGTCTTACCCCAAGAGGCGCAGGCAACGAACATATGTCTGTTGCCAGGGCTGTGCAGCCTCATGGATCTGGGCTGACAGAATCAATGATGAGAGGTGGAAATGTGACAAATGCAGCAAGGCATGGCCACAAACGTCCTGGAGACAGGAGAAGGCTCATGTGTCCCAAAGTCGAGCTCGACCGCGCCGTGACAGAACGGTACTACTGGACAAGCCGCCAGGACTGGGACGCAGGCCGCGCTCCTCAGGAGTTGAAAAGGCCCTCCAGAAGGAATGGACAAGCCTGAGCAAAGAGGTCCAGGACGCCCTGAAGGCTGTGGGTATAGATTACACCCCTGAACCAGAGCTCCAGCCCCTTGAAGAGATCTTGAAGACTCACATCGAAGCACTTCCCAAAGAGGTCAAAGATGCGGTTGAGACCCTGATTGCACCTGTGAAGCAGGAACCCAGTAACGTCACTACGCAATTGAAGACCACCGTTTGGGGAGCTGCGACAGCTGTCCAACAAGAAGGCTGGGCTGCAGAAACGGGTGGACAATGCAAAGGAGCAGTACAAGACACTCTTGGATGAGTTGAAGGTGGTTCAGGAGATGATCGACAAGGAACAACAGCAGTTGACAGCCCAATCAGC